GTAGCAGTTTGTTACCAAATGTCTCTGGAAAGGTCCCTTTCTCTATTGCCTTGATGTCTCATGGTATTAAGGATCCCTATGGATAATGCATAATCAGAACGTCGATTAACCAAAACACAATTGGCTTCCCTCACTGTATGTTAACTACACTGGGAGATCCTTCAAGTATCCAACTCTTTATTCATCTGAATTATTCCATGGCCTGTACTCTCCTGCTCCCCTTCTCTATTCCAGGTGGACAGTTGAAGTTTCTATCTTAACTGATAGCTCTCTGTTGCTACAGAGATAATTACAGAACACACTTCCTTACAGAGCCTGCTAATTAAAGTTATAACTGACATTGAATAGGTCAGTTCTGCAGATAGGAAACTGTACTGTCTTCACATTAAAGTCAGTCTGTTTTACAAACTTAGTATGAGAGGATTCCTGCCCTGAGGACCTTCCAGTCTGAGAGAAGACTGCAGAAGACAATTCAGGAAAATCAGGGGCGTGGGATTTTCCAAGAGGGGAAAAAAGCGGTGAGATTTTCATAATTTATTAACACAATGTATTATAAATCCCTTTCTTGTCTGTTTACTGCCCTCTCTAGCCTGCTTGGAGATTACATACTAGCTAAATACTATGTGGGACTATTACATACTATAGCATAGCTCTACATGTACTAGCCCTAAGTGTGTATTTTGTGCTGTGCTTGACACCTCTCCGATGCCAAAGGGAAAGATTCTAATTCCCAGTGCTTATTGGATTTCCATCTGCTCCTGGATACCTAGGTGATAGCAGTTTCTAAGTATGCTGCTTATCACTGGCATTTGGCAAGATAACTGCACCCTTTCCTTTTAGATCTGGACTTTGCTTGGGTGATACAGGCTTTTGTCCTTCTAAAGTTAGGCTTTTGACCATGCTTTGCAGGGTGCAACACCTTGAAACAGTCTGGAAGCTGCAGCTAAAGCAGATTACAGGTGTGTATTACACCTGAGTTCTGCACACACTGCCAGATCTCAACCCTCACCTGGGAACAATTAATTTCATTCCATAAAGTTGGGGAGCTCATGACCTGGGAGATGCTTCTCTTTGCACCTCATAGCATGAAAGATACAATTATTCAACGTGTATGAACCAACAGCATTCTGGAGAGGGCTGGTGCCAAAACCTGGCTTTGGTGAAACTTGAAATTCTGTAAGACTAGTCTATTTTCCCAGGCTTAGTCTTGGTGACAATGTGATAGTTTTTGCTGGAGGTCTCCATGGGTGACTGAGTGAAGGTGAAATAATAGCCTTTTCCAGCTCTTGACTGAAGAGGACGGAGGGAGGTGTTTGACTCTTCACCAGTGAAAGCTTTCTTTTCTAACTGTTAAGGAAAACAAACCCAAAATCTAAGTTCCACAGTCTGTTCTCTCTGTCTGCTTTCTTTTGCATAGTATTGTTAGTTTTCCAGTCTTTTAGAAGAAGCAGGGAAGATGAGACGTGAATTTATTATGTACAAATAAGTAACCTGTTCAGGTTAAATATTTACAGAAATTCTGTGCTTGGTAAAGAAAGCCCAAAGGGTACAAAAGGGATGTTCTTTCTGTGTAGGTCTTTTTTTATAATGAGCCTAGAGTTTGTTCAGGGAAGGTGGTCAAGCCTTGCATCTCCTGAAGAGCAGAAAAATTAGTCTGACAAGGCTTCCAACTTCATTAACTCAGGATCAGCTCTGCTGACATGGAGACCTTTTCCTTCCTGTAAATCCCTCCCCCCCCTCCCAACTCTGTGGGAGATGCGTCTCCTGGTCTGGTAAGAAAAATTTCAGCTGTAGGAATAGCTGTGCCAGCATGAATCCTTACAGCAGATTTGTCACAGTTACACCACAACTTTATTAACTGATCTTGAATTCACTCTGAATTCTTATCTGGAAGATTAAGAATAGGGTTGGATATTGAAGGTAGGATCTTCTCTGGCTCACTGCAAGGGCTTTTGACATCAGGAGGGCCCAAAGCCTCAGTGATAAGAAAACTGAAAAGTACTGTGTCTGGGTATGTCTACACTACCCCGCTAGTTCGAACTAGCGGGGTAATGTATGCATACCGAACTTGCTAATGAAGCCCGGGATTTGAATTTCCCGGGCTTCATTAGCATAAAGCCGGCTCCGCCATTTTTAAAAGCCGGCTAGTGCGAACCCCGTGCCGTGCGGCTACACGCGGCACGGGCTAGATAGTTCGAACTACGTAGTTATTCCGAACTATCTGTACGCCTCGTGGAATTGTGGCACCTGTATTCCACTGCACCTGTACTTCTAGGAGAGAGTGGTGTCTAGTCATGGGAACAGGAGTTAGGGGACAGTGACTTGGAATCAGAACTCCTGAGCTCTCTATATCTGTGCTGCAAATGTCTTGAATGACCATGGGCAAGTTACTTTGCCATGTTGTGCCTCAATTTCCCTGTCTGTGGAATGGAAATGATACTTTGCTACCTCATGGTGGGATATAAGGAGTAATTTCTGCCAAGTGTTGTCATGAGGTGCTTACGTGAAATGCACAAGCAAAGGAAAATACAATACAGGCAGTCCCCGGGTTACGTACAAGATAGGGACTGTAGGTTTGTTCTTAAGTTGAATCTGTATGTAAGTCGGAACTGGCGTCAGCAGCTACTGAAACTGATCAGTTTCAACCGCGGCTGAATCTGGATGCCAGTTCTGACTTACATACAGATTCAACTTAAGAAACCCAGGCGTCCCCAAGTCAGCTGCTGCTGAAACTGATCAGCGGCTGATTCCAGGAAGCCTGGGGCAGAGCAGCTGACTTGGCTCCTCGGCCAAGAGCGGCTGTCTTGGCTCCTTGGCTCTACTGGAGCAACCCGGCGGCACCCCAGCTGCTCTGCCCCAGGCGTCCTGATTCTGCTGCTGCTGAAACTGACCAGCAGCGGCTGAATCAGGACCAGAGCAGCTGGGGGGGGGGGGGGGGGACTAAGTGGCCCCGCGCCCCGG